TGGTGACCCCTAACGGGAACAGCCGAAAGAAGAAGAATAGAATGGAGAAAATTAATATGTAAAACAATACATGAATGCAAAATAATCAATAAAAAATGGAAAAGAACAAATAAGGCAAGCAACAGAAAAAATGGAAAATCAATCAACACTAAGGTCATCCTAGTTAACCAGAGTATAAATCATTCATAACATGTCCTTGCATAGTCAGAAATTACACCAAAATAACTAAACCATACTAAGAATATCGCGCCTGCTATGTGTGTGTGTGACACTATATGGATTATGTGTTAACCTTAGCAAAATTGTGTGAAAGGAGTTTCAGGGGGACTAATAACTGGCGTCTTCTTTGTCCTCCAGGTCCAAGGTGTTTTCATCGATGATGAGCTGTGGGAAGGAAGCCAAGGGTACACTCTCTGAGTGTTATGGTTGAGTCCCCCTCACCAGGAGGCTGAGGGAAAACTGAGGTAGGACTCAATGTGCAGACCCAAGTGCTGGTGAACAAAGGTGGTAGCAACACAAACAAAGTAATAGAGTCAATGTATATATACGACAAGGTTTGGACAGTAGAAAAACAGGGTAGGGCTGTGATGGCTGAGGAGACCTGGACGAGCAGAGGAGTAGACAGACCAACGGCAGGAACCAGTAGAGTAGGAGGATCAGGACGGACAGGTGAAAAAGAGTAGCAAACGCACCGACATCAACTGCACAGGGACTGTCAGCAGTTATCGCGATTACATTTTGCTTAACACGTGTATTACGTTCTGAAAGATAATCAACAGCACAGGGACTGTCAGCGTTGAAAATCCAATCGCGAAAACAAGTAAAACACATGTACATACAATGCATACGCTTGCGCATGCAGAGTTAGTTATTTAGTTAGTTAATGCTCCGGCGACGACGGAGTGCCTGCCAGAGGTTTAAATAAGGTAGGAGTAATCACAGGAATGCGCCTCAGCTGTGCGCTACAACCAACAAGTCACTTGATGACTGAATGCAACACAGCTGAGGCACCGATCCCGCAGGACGAGAGAGAGAAAGGAAGAAGAGAGAAAGGAAGAAGAGAGGCAGGCTGCGCCAAGCGGACCTGACACTGAGGCTAAACAGAGAGTTGATATGGAGGAGATGGTTCTAGTAATGCATTTGGTGCACAATTGTCTAATGCAGGGGATGCAACAACAGCTGCAGAGGACTAGAATGGCTGTAAACAAGCTTTGTTTACAGACACTAAACCGGAAGTGACTAAGCCACTCCATTTTCTAAACCAATGTGACAGTAAATCAGAGAAGGGATCATTAATGCCAGAATTTTCAGCCAATTCTTCAAATAAAGCAGTCAGACCCTCTAAGGCCTTGGTGATGCTTCCCATCTGGTGCAGTATTATTAGGGATGAAGGTACAACAATGAATGCCTATTGTTAGATTTTACCCAAATTATTTTATTGAAAGCCTGAGAAGTGAAGACAGGAAAGGACTGTTTAAAATCAACAGGAAGTTTACTCAAAGCATGGGCACAGGTAAAGCCCTACAGCGCTGGGATCAGAGACACAGAGCTCCCACAGGAAATCCGTTCTCTGAGCCACGAGTTTCCTTTTTCTCATTACATTTAGCTTCTTGGGCTGCTCCGCCCTGAACAGAGGTACAAAACTTAACACCTCGCAATCCTATTGGCCACCTGGCATGAGCAGGTCAACCCCTGCCTGCATCTGCTTGCTGAAATGTGATCTAAACCAGGTCAATGAACACTGAACAATGGGTTGTCTGTGCTGCAGACCCCCTCTGTGTGTGATGCTATTGCAGGACCTAGTGAGTATGCTAAACGGGCCAGGTGGTCATCTCAGGTTGTAGGCCCCCTGTCTCTGCAAGATACCACATGACAAAGCAGAACTTGGAATATGCTAAACGGGTCTAGGTAAAATTGCAAAACAGGCCAACAGGTCTTTGTTAAAATGTAAAATAGGCCATCTGGTTACTTGAAGATACAGTTCCAAAGTTTCACTCAGTAAAATACAGCAGTCATCAATACAGTTCAGAATTTGCAGTATACATTTCCAACGTTTCACTCAGTAGAATACAGCAGTCATCAATACAGTTTAAATATGTATAAGCAAGGAAAATAAAGGTATGAAAAGTAACTAAAAGAAAATGAAAAACTGAAAAGTAACTAAAGGAAACTAAAGTTGTGAAAAGTAACTAAAGCTTCTAAAGTAACTAGAGCCGATAAGAATCAAATCTTACATCCTGCAGAAATAAATATGTAATAACTCTCAGAATTGATGTTAAGTATTTATTTTACACTCACTGAGCTTTAATAGATAATTTTTTTTTCACAACATCGTGTTAAATAACAGTTAGATATTAGTAAATCAGTCAGATAATTATTAGACAATGTCTTAGTAATGCAGTTTAGTAAGATTTAAAGTCTGCTCTAGTCTGTTTTGTTTCAAGGATAGCAGACTGAAAAGTAAACTATAGTTACATATGACACCAATTCTTTTTTATATTAACCTTGCAACATTATGTCTGAATGAATGCTTAGCCACACACTATGTGACAACAGACACACACATTGAAAATCCTCATTTTGTTATGACTAGCTCACTCATGATTATAAAGGTATCAGGCTCTGTGTGGCCAGGACTCCTTGTTCCAGCAGCCTGCCTGTGGATGCTTGGAGGAGGGAGCCATCCAGGTTGTGTTTTGTAATTTTTGCTTGTGGTTCAAATAAATCAGCACTAAATGAAGAAAGACAGACTCCGTTATTCAGAGCTGTCCAATTAAAGAAGTGGGGTACTACATAACTGTGATCTCAATATTGACTAAAACAATCTGGATTATTATTTTTGCCATAATCCGCAGCCCTAGATTGGAGTAGATATGACTAGATTGCAATATTGAAGAGCCACATTATAAAAACAGTAGCAGTGCTACTGTTTTGTTTTCAGATGTTGACCTGTAACACAGAAAACATCTGCTGAAGGAAAAGTCTTTAAATATGTGGATTAATCATGTTAATCCAGTTTACATGGCAGTGGGTGATGCTGTACAGTGACTGGAAAACAATGCATAGAGCTTATTACCAAACAAAAACAACAACAGAGTAATGAATACACACAGTCATGGAAGAAAAACAGCCTCTGCCACAGCCAGTGTCATGGTACAGCCACATTTTACTAGTGACACACTCACAGTATCAAAAAATATTGATTATAATCACCATTTCGATTAAAAAATAAAATCATGCAAGGTTATGTGAAGCTGACAATCAGCAGTCAGACACAAAGAGGATCTCAGATACTAATTTCTACAGTAAGGTTGTTTTGTTACTATGCAGTTTAAAGACATTTTGAATTTATGAATTTGAACATGAACAAATTAATGAGCAAGGTAAATCTCAGTCATTCACAGCATCTCTACTGTACATTGGCCTCACAGGAGCCAGTCTGCAGAATCTGAAGAGTGACAACGAGTTTAACAGATTTTCTAAACCAGGGATAAAACAAGGCATAGATCACAGGGTTTAGACAGGAGTTAAAATAGTACAGAAAAACCACATAAGATGCAGATGATCCATTAAACACACTGTCCCCTGCAAGAGACACACAGTAATATGGGCAAAAACACATTAGAAACCCCAGAACAAGAACACCCAGAGTCCTGGCTGCTTTCAGCTCAGACTTCTTTGTTGTTAGAGTCACTGAACGCTGCAGTGTGACAGCTGTGATGTGAGAGCGCATGGCACGGGCCTGAGACACGGCCACAACAAACACTCTCATATACAGAACTATGATGGCAGTAATGGGGACAATAAAGGTAAAAACAAGGTCAACAGCTTCTGTAATATAATCAATGCCGACCACACACTGACCATAGCAGGAGTTATATCTGTCAGGCTGAGTCAAGTCATTCTTTAAATAAAGACCACTGTAGAAAAAATAATAGAGCCAACACAGACAAACACTGAGTTTGACTCTTCTCACAGTGACTCTGGTGGGGTAATGCAGAGGGTCAGAGACAGCAACGTAACGGTCGACTGATATGAGAACCATGTCTCCTATCGAAGTACTATAAACAATGCAGGATAAATATTTGTACAGTGAACACATGACATCACCAAGAAACCAGCAGGTAGTTAATCTGAAGATTTCTCCAGGCATCAGCAGGAGGCCCACGAGAAAGTCAGAGACAGCCAGAGAGAGGAGGAGGATGTTAGTGGGTGTGTGGAGCTGCCTGAAGGGAAA